ATAGGAGTTATAATTACCTGTGGACCAAAACTATGTCTGAAGAATTTTGATTTAATTACGAACAAAATGAAGCCAGATTATTAATCCAAGTTTTATGGGGAGCAGCTCTGACCGTTAAATTGACCCTCGGAAAATCAAAATCGAGATATCAATTGTAAGGTTTTGTTTTAGAACCAAAAGCTTTTTTGACAAAATTCAATCTATTCCTGTGAACATTGCAAGGAAGGATAGTGACAAAAGTTAAAATTACTTGAAAAAAATAACCATAAAAATTATGAATGAAAATATTACGAAAAATATTTTCTATAAATTATTTAAATAACTAATGTCTTTTACTTTTTCTACACACAACTCTTTGTACAAATATTCAATTACATTGATAAATTGACTGAATTTATTTTGTGTATATCTATATCTGTATCTGTATGTATATATATTATTCTTTATAAGCTTAACATATATCATTATATAAAGTCTTACCATATGTTATCTATCTATCTATTTTTATATATATATACGCTAATCGTAATTTCAAAGATTTAAATTGGAAAGTTTTCAGGTTTTATATATTAACGATCTTGTCTAATAAAGTATTTTCATAACGCAACACACACCTAAAATTCAGGACTGACACGCACACAAACTAAAAAGTGATACTGATATTCTAATGGACACCGGGACAAACACCACAAACCGGGGCTTATATCAATCTGAAATATAAATGAACTTATCTCTACATCTACATTACATACAAGTTGAATATACATATTTAAAAATAATGTTTGTTTATATTTAATAAAGACTGGCATATAAAAAGTTCTTTAAAATTGTTTTAACGTGAGCATATATGTATTTTCAATTAATTAAAAACAAATTCCGTTTAATATTTAAGTAGTTTCTTTTACGTCGGTTTCTATATAAACAACTGAAAGTAAATGTTTATTTTAATGCGTAAATAGTTCTATATGCTTTTTATTCATCTAATCTAAGAGTCGAAAGCCAAGTAAAAATTTTTATACGTGTTAACAACCACACTTGAGATTCTTAGACTAATTAATAATTAACTTACTTTTTAATGATAGATTTTAAAAAGGAAATCTTGAAAGATTATACGCGTGTTTAGAATATCTGTAGAAGCACAAACGACAGTTAAGTATTGACGATGATGATGATGATGACAGACTACCGAAGCTGTCGTTACGAATATGGTACTCCTTTTGCCAGCGCCGCACATACCCGCAGTGCGGTGGATCTGGCCCCGTCAGAACCTCGTCAGATAATGGACATTTCACACGCCCACCCGGCTTCTGCCGGCACATCTGGAGTAGCCGGATACTATACCGGTGGTTCAGGGGCTTACTTGAGAAATTATAACAGGCAGTACCAAGATCTGTATGGGGGCTTTGGTCATCATACGACGCACCACGGGTCGGGAAACCCCGGAACAAATAACAACAGTAATAACAACACTAATAATTCAACTAGTAATAATAATAATAATAATAGTAATAATACTAATACTACTACTACTACTACTAATAATAATAATACTAATAATAACAGTCACAATAACAACAATCATCATAATAACCACAGTCAAAGTCACAATAATAGTAAAAACAGTGGCAGTAGGTCTCCGTTACCACCCGCACACCATCCTCCCCACCACTCTCACCATCACCATCACCACCCGTATTATAACATACACTCACCTACAGAGTGTCGGGGTAATGCGTTGTCGAATACGTCTTCAAACCCCGCAATGTCTGCAGGGTCAAAAGGTCAGCCGTATGCCGCTAAAGAAGATCTATCGTGCTCGTCTAAGACGTTAAGGTCTACAACAGGAAGTTCATCAAAAGACACAAACCATATTAATAACGGACAAAACAACAACACGCTTAACAATGGGAGCGGAAGTGTAAACAATAAGAACAGTAGTAGTAGCAGTAGTACCAGTAGTCGGTCGGCAACCAGTCCCAAGTCCCGAACGCACCAGCCTTTGGCCGACAACGATAAACTGGAGAAAAAGGACAATTTGAAAAGACGAATTTCTTCCGATCAGGAAGACAAGTCTTTGGACGGATGTTCTTCACCAGAAAAAGAGACGAGCGATAAATCAGATGTAGGGTCTGGCTCTGAGGACCCAGACGATCACGTGCCTCACGTACTGGCTCCCGGTTACCATGGTCCGAACCGCCGGTGCCTGTTGTGGGCATGCAAGGCGTGCAAAAAGAAAACGGTTACTATAGACCGTCGCAAGGCGGCCACTCTACGGGAGCGACGACGCCTGAGGAAGGTAAATGAAGCTTTCGAGACATTAAAGAGACGCACATGTCCAAATCCGAATCAGCGGCTACCCAAAGTTGAGATCTTACGCAACGCAATTGAATACATTGAGAGTTTGGAAGAAATGTTGCATGGTAGTCGGATGGGACGCACCGACTCGGCAGCTGACATGTGTCCGGATAATGGGTCTACCAGTGGTGGGTCAGACTATATGGTAAGTACCACATTGATGTTCTTTTCTTCTTCTTCTTTTTTTATACTGAAACACGCTCATCAAAAGCGGCAAATAAAGGGTGTTCCAATAACTTGGACCGATTTTAAATGTGAACTAAGTTTAAAATCAGTCCAAATTATTGGAATACCCTATATTTATTTTAAATATAAAACTCTTCTATTTATTTATTTGCATTTATTTCTCCAATATCTATAATCACTGTTTATTTATGTTTACTTATCTTCTTTGGGAATACAAAACGTTCAACTTGATAAATTTGAATGTAATTCATTCTGACTATTGATTTTAGCATCGGTAATATTATATATCGGAATGGATTCCAGCCAAGTTCGAATTCTAGTCGAATCCATTACATTCACTTACGTGAATACCCTTGGGAAAGGTATTAATCCTCTTCTTCCCCACCCCCGCCAGCTAAGGGTAAATAGCAGGACATACCGGGTTTTATAGCCTTGGATGGCAACTAGTCAACCGCAGTAAAAAATGGCAAACTACTGCAGAAAAAAAATCTGCCTCGTCAGTCATGTATCGAAAGATACATGATCGACTAAGCGTACGTCACGCATGGCCCATAACTGACTTCCTGATATAATATTCTTAATGTCTCGGTCGCTGTACGCTCTAGCCTTCTGTAGATGCTTCTTGCATTTAGGATTGGTAATGTCATTTTGATTCGTTCTGCTCGATGAAATAGTGAAGATGAGATTAACAATATGAATAAATTACTGTCTAATGATAATGACACATATAAAAATTCAGGCAGAAATTAGGTTTCTTTCAGGTTCATTACACTCACGTTAAAAACTTGTTTCTTTCGACGTAAATTCTTGATTTTATTTGTACACTGAAAAATATATATTGGTTTCGTTATAACACACACACACACACATATATATATATAAAGATCAGTATGGATACAGAAATTAACATCAGTTAATAATATATATATATATATATATATATATATATATATATATATATATATATATATATATATATAAAAAAAAGAACAGTAAGATATAAAATCCGGTGTTTTTTATATATATTTTATTTTTACAAAATAGTGCTCAATGTAAATTTACAGAGCATTAAAATTATAAATTAATTGATTTAAAATATGGTTTTATTCGCTACACAGTTCCAACCATGTTTCAAAAATAGAAGCTAAAAACCCCGAATTTAATTTTGCAATTAAATTAAAAGCATTAGTTCCATTTCATCTTCAAGCTTCTATTTTTGAAACATGGTTGGAACTGTGTAGCGAAAAAAACCATATTTTAAATCAATTAATTTATAATATATATATATATATATATATATATATATTACATGAATCATTCATACAAAAAAAAAAAAGATATAGAAGTTAATGATATAAATGGCGAGAATACATTAAGTTCTATATCTGTTTTTTGTATGAATGATTCATGTAATGTAAATTGAAGTGCACGACATACTTGATACACACACACACACACACACACAAACACACACATATATATATATATATATATGTATATATATAAGATAACGATATATATTTTTATATATCAAGAATAGTATTGGAAATATTCATAGCATATACATATCTATTCATATATATATATACATATACATGTGTGTGTGTGTGTATAATCTTAAAAATATATAAAATATAAAATTCTTTCGAAAAATATATATTAGTTTCGTGATAACACACACACACACACGCATATACATGTATATTCTATACCGATGTTAATTTCTCTGTTCATACTGATTATATATATATATATATATATATATATATATATATATATATATATATATATATATATATATAAATCAGTATGGAATCATTTCATATTGACTGACATTTTCGACTTAAGACACCATGCAGTGGTGATGTGCTTTTTTGTTTATATATAAAAGACTCTATTACCTATACTGAGCGCTCTTTTCGACATTAATATATATATATATATATATATATATATATATATATATATATACACACACAAACACACACACGCAAACACTCACTCACACATATACACACACACACACATATATATATATATATATATATATATATATATATATATATATATATATATATATATATATATATATATATATATATATATATATATATATATATATATATATATATATATATATATATATATAAATAACGATATATATATTTTTATATCAGGAACAGTATCGGGAAAAATTTACTTGTACCGCGTTTCGTTCTTCAGGACTACATCGGACAGTCTGATGAAGTCCTGATGGACGAAACGAGTCACAAGTATATATATATATATATGTAACAAACCAAGTTCATAAAAAATCTCACAATAAATATGAAGGCGATGTAGGATGACATATAAGAAACCCTTCGCCATCATTCGCATTTACTATTAGGGTATTATAAAAATAGAATCAGTTCAAGTAATGTTAGTGTATGGCGTCTAGATAATCAATTACCTACCAGATTGCTTAGCTTCGTATATAAGAACGGGGTGATAGTTTTATTGTTTTTTTGATTTTATTTGGTGGGGGGTGTAATAAGAACATCTAAAAGTTACCCTATATAGCAGAAAGGCATTTGTTTATTTCCTGCTTTTGATTGATAAATGACCATGAAGATGTTTATCCCCCTCTTCAGCTGAAACTTGAATGCTTTTTTATGCAAACTGATCAGGTTTATCAAACTTAATATCTGTTATACAATAAATTTGAAAAACATTGAAAAATATGTTTTGCAGACAACCTGATTAAATCGGAATATTTAGGCATATTTTCTTCCATTTCTTTCACCTATTTTTGTCTTTCGTCTCTTTTTTTCTTTCTTCTTTTCAGAAAATTACTATTTACTTTTCTAATAATTTTTTATGCCATTTTAAAACCATTTTCTGCGTGCAGTTATATATACATACATACACATATATATATATATATGTATATATATATGTATATATATATATATATATATATATATATATATATATATATATATATATATATATCGTATGGTAACATTGACATACAGGATTTGTTCATGTAAATTTGTGTATGAACTTGAATAAACCCATAGCCGAATAATGAAAAATAAATTACTTTTTTACCAAAAATAGCTCGCATTCCTCTTCTTTGTCAATACCCTTAATTTAGTGGTAATTATTGATCACATTGATTGAATAATATATGCGCAATCATTTCAGATCTAAAATAAATGTTCACTTTTATATTTACACGCGCTCTATCTCTGATATTGAGCACTTTATCCCATAAATATAGCACATCTTAAGACTATATTTCTTCATATATATATATATATATATATATATATATATATATATATATATATATATATATTAGTGTGTCACTATGTTTCTTTATTTATCCTTTCATAACTTCTGTCACGCTAAGAAACTGAAATATATATAAAATTAAAAGGTCATTCCTGTTCCGATTCGAACGTCCACCCTGAAGGTAGACCAACAATTTTTAGAATATCTACTAAACCGATGTACTTTTTGAACACTATAGTAAAATTTACTTGCAAATGTTAAACCGAGCTTACAGATACTACACTCTAGTCAGAGGATCGGTTAGCCATTCTGATCTTAGGCCAACAGTCCAGATGCTCTCATCCTTGTCAGAAGTGCCGGTACGTACGTCACTTTTAAGGGTATTATACTAGAACATATCTATCTATCTATCTATCTATCTATCTATCTATATATATATATATATATATATATATATTTATATAGGATTAATTTGAGTAAGTAAAACTTTGTCACTGATTGATGTTACCTTCAGCATCCGAACTCTTGATTTTCGTAGGCGGACCTGCTGTCCATCCATTCTTCAGAGAATATCAGCACTTTAGATCTGTGTGTGTGTGTGTGTGTGTGTGTTTATGTGTGTGTTTATGTGTGTGTATGTGTGTGTTTGTGTTTGTGTGTGTGTGTGTGTGTTTGTGTGTGTGTTTATGTGTGTGTTTGTGTGTGTGTATGTGTGTGTTTGTGTTTGTGTGTGTGTGTGTGTGTGTGTGTTTGTGTGTTTGTGTTTGTGTGTGCGTTTGTGTTTGTGCGTGTGTTTGTGTGTGTGTCTATTTGTGTGTGTGTCTGTTTGTGTGTGTGTATGTGTTAACGATTTGTGTGTCTCCAAACAATGTATTCCTAATGCTTACAGAATATTTAGCATTTTTTTTTATTATTCTGATTCTTTTCATATGTCTCTTTATAAGAAATCTACTGTAATTAAAATATATTGTCTATGATAACTAAAGAAAACATTTCGGTAACCTTCAAGGAATATCACTCTGGAAATGCTTCCTTTTACTTTCGCTCTTGTCATTTGTCACATGTCGGTACGATCTTAGTAATAGGATCTAAAACATATCGATATGCCTCATGCCGGAACTGTGACGGTTCGTGAAGAGTATTTATTTCAATATCAAGCACTAAATCAAGGCATTACCAAACGAAGCTGGTTATTAAAGGATACTACCAGCAATATGTTTTTGAACAAAAATATTACCAGCAATAAAAATCTTGTCGCCATTAAACAACTCATTGAGGTTGATATGCCGTAAAAGAAAACAAATCTAAACAGATTCTCTACAAACCCTCTTTACAGAAATACGTCAATGAAACCTGATTAAACTGATTTCTTATAAAGAATACATATTATTTTATATGAACCTATCCTAAAAATCGTGTCAGCATTAAACAATGGTTGATATGCCGTAAAACAAACCAAACTGCCAATTCAGAAATTTTACATACAAACTTTAGAAATGCAAGTTGCTTTACAGTTTATAATAATAAAACAATGAAATGTAGTTTTGTGAAAGGTAACAAGTTGTTTAAACGCTGGATTCATTTTTTCACTAGAGACGATATCAAACTTTTCGAAAATTATTTTAGTTATCTCGTCTGTTATTCATATGCCACTTAAATTCTTGCTTCAATTGTTAAGAA